TTATTATTATCTTACTCGGCAGCTCTTTAATAAGATTGTATTAGTTAATAATACCAGAGTTGATCCTATTGATGGGTCATCTCTCTTGAGCATGTTTCTTCAAGTGGGAATGCTGGTGAAAGAGTGGGCTGGAGTTACTTCCTTGGCAGTTTTTAGCCTAATTTTGCTGATGCTTGTTTTTGGGTGTCTGTGCTGCCTTCAGGCACAACAGGTACAATCTCAAGCTTCGTTCGAGGATTGGTGCTTTTACATGGTTGAGGGGATCCCTCTGCCCAAGTGTGACTGACCATGCTACAAAGAGCGTTATCATTCACCTAGGCCCGAGCTGCAGCCGGGACTGCAAGGGAGTTTTCCCTGAGAGACATGCCTGGCTGCATAGGGGTTGGTGTCGATACAGTTCCCCTCCTCAGGAAAAAGACACCGAGATGGGTATGACCATACCACCTCACTGTAGAATGGCAGGGGGCTGGAGGTCATTACAATATCCCCAATATTCACCGAGGGTCTGGTCTCTGTCTCTGCTCGGCCTCTAATTAAAAGAAAAAGGGTGAATTGTGAGTCACCATCCTCTGCACCTGTGCTGTTATGCCTGATTCCCCCTTCTCTATGCATTTCCCTGAGAAGACTGCTCAAGGAGAAATCCAAACTTAGGTGATAGGCTGCCGAGTGTGTCTCCTTGTTCCTGTTTTGATCCTTGTTCCTGTTTCTATTCCTGTTCCTGTTTATGTTCCTGTTTTGTGGGGAGTATAAAAGGGAGCTATGCAGTTGAAAATATAGCATTTGGTTCTTTTAAAAAAAATAACTTGCCTGTGTGTGTTTTCTATTCATGGATCTGAGATAGCTCCTGGGGGTGTACATATGTGACTCGCTGGGAATTTAAAGAGGTGTAGACAAAACTACCCACTACGCATGTATCCTACTATGCGACTGTGATGTGTTACTATGGTACCCTGTGACAGTGCACTGTGAACTGTGAATGACTGTACTTTTAGGCCAGTACTTTTGACTTTTGCTGTTATCTTTGCTTTAGTAGGGAAAGCTGAAGAAAAATGAAATTTATTACTGTATCACCAAAATATTGTGAGGACTCTGAGTTGATTCACTGTTGTTTCAAAATGATTCCTGCCCCCCCTAACTAGTGCCTGAATTTACCATTTCTGGAGGAGTATTTTGCTAGCCAATAAGTAGCACCTCTCTTCTGTCTGTGCAGAGTGGCCACAAAGGACAGCTGAGAGGTGACATTGGTGCTTCCCTGGGGAGAAAATGGTCTTCAGTACCAAGCTCCCAAAGGCTCGGTCAACAGTCACCTGATGGTACCAGCCTCACACCTTTGATCCTACTTTGCCTTAGATAAATGTCTGTCACAAAAAGTTGTGATGAAGCTCAGAATTAGATGGGACACTTGCAAGCCATTTGTAAACACACACATTCCTCGTGTGTGTGATCATTTTTATCCCAGACAAATGCTGGCTTTATTCCCATGACCCAGAAGGCTGGCGACCTCCCTTTTTCCTATGACTGAAAAGATGACTGAGATGAGAAACAGCCTGGGCTCCCCTTTCTGGAGAAGGCAACATTAAAAAATAGAAAGCAGTCAGCTCTGAAGTGAGGGACACGATAGGCGTGACAAGCGGCTGACAGGAAAGAATGCTTTGAGAAAACTGAGCTGAAGGGAAAATGAAGAGGCCCAATGAGTGGGGTTTGTGAGTATTAGCAGCATTTGGACATGGCTGCCTTTGAAGACCAGTTTCAAGGGTGGGGGGAGCTGCAAGTAGGTGTTTATTCTTTGATGTGGACAGTATCACCTTCTCAAGACTGCAGGGGAGTGAAGCTGCCAAGACTACCCTTCTACCAATCATGCTGCTGTCTGAGGAATGTAGGCATCAAGGGACAGGCCAGCTCTGCTGAAAACAGACCCCTCTTTCAACAAGGACACATCTCTTAATCCTTCTAATCCTTCTCAAACAGTTCCTCAACTGGGGACAGAGCATGCAGACATATGAGCTTATTGGGCGCCATTTTCATTTAACCCCCCCCCCCACACTGGACAGCAGACACGTTTTTCTTATGTTGTTTGTTTTGTTTTCAAATAGGAGGAACAGGAGGGTGGGTCTATGACCAGGAGTTAGATGCAGGAGGCATGTTTAGAGGCAAGGAGCTTTAGAGGTAGTGTAAGACCTGAAATTAACAGCCCCTCCTGCCCAAGGACCAGCTCACTCCAGTGAGTGCTTGGAGTTGTAGTTCTTGGACAAAACCAAAGCCTCATAGGAGAGTATGATGGTCTATGTGTTTTGTCCATAAAAGCCCTGATAACACATGTCTCTGGGACACTCTTCTGGAAATTCCAGGGAGTGGTCCTGACCAAAGTTAACCTCTTAGTCAGTGTTTAATATTTAATAAAAATTAATATTTAATTATCAAATTTGGTCTGGCAAATCTAAGGAATAACAGTAGGGCTCTATAATCAAGGCTGAAGAGGCACTATGGCATGTGCTACTCATGACACATTGAAATCTTTATGTTGACTGTGTAACTTTTCAGTATCTAGAGAATTCACAGAACTGCCATAGAAGCAGGGATCTTGCCCTTTATCCACAGGGCTTGGAACAATTCTTCATCTACTATAGGTGTTTAGAGTGTATTGCTGAATACAATACTATACCTTTCCACTATGATGCTGCCAGAACTCAACATGCATCCATCCAATGTAAATTCACAGGTTCTCTATTGGACTTGGGGTTGGAAGAATGGATACAGGAGACAAGCAGGAGAGATGCTTGCACCTTTGCCCACAAATGCTGTCTTCCACAATAGTGTTTAGGACCACTGTCAAGAGTCTAGTGCTTCCCTAGTTATACAAAGTGTTATACAAAACTACATATTTGCTGGGCTTTGGCCAGCAGTATGTTGATATAATTGTTGATCTTCTTTTAGTTCTCTCCCCTGACTCTCCTCCAACCCTCTGAGGGGAAACATAGTCGTTCATTCTGCCACCTGGCCAAGCAGGCTTCTTGACCCATACAAATGTCCCATTTAACATGCTCTGAAAGTATGATGGCTACACGCCCCTTGAGGCTGGCCATATGAACTTAAGGTCATCTTTAATGCTCATTCCCCCATTTATATGGCTTAGCTGTTAAGGTTATGGTGACTTAAAAACCCTTAAGAACCAAGGTTGGTTGTTCTCTCTTGAAGGATGGGTGGGATTACTGGGAGAGTCAGGAACCTGGGCAGTTTAAGGGTTAAGTAAGGTTGTTCCTCATTTTCAAACAGAACCTCACATCTTGGAAGCTTTGCTTCGTGTCTGCGATGCTGATGGATGTGAATTGTAATTTCACAGGGCCTCTTGCTTCATCATCCTGCGCTACAAAGATCTCAAGGCACGGGTTCCAAGGCTATTATTATTCCTGCTTTCTGTACCCAGGGGATTTGAACTGGAGTGTCCCTGAGCTGAAATAAATGAGCAGAAGACACAGTTACCTCCTTGACTGTATAAATAGCGTTCACTCCTAAGTCTACTGAAATCCTGGTGGTCAACAACGGAGGATCTTATGAGAAGACCCAAGTGTACTAATTATATTTATTTAGTTATGCTAATATTGTGTAAACGCAGCTGCATAATCCCTTACAGAGAAACACTTCTCTCTATGCTCACTTGTAATCACCCAGCGCTGTCATGTTCTCGGCTGTAAAACTGAAATGCTCTGAAATGTCCATGTCTACTTACTACGTTCTTATCAATGAGACGGGGTGTCTATTCACCTCGGTTCAGTGTTTAAACCCTTGTCAACCACTGTGTGGAGAGAAAAGTGATGAGCAAATTCGTCAACTGCGCTGAAGTTCCTAGCTCCTCCCTCCTAAGGTTTGATTGATCATAACTGATAAACAAAAGACACACATTTGCATTTTCCTAAGCCTGTGTGGGTCATTAGTGAGCGGAGCTCAGGAAATGTGCTCTTTACTCAGTCAGGATGAAGACACAGCTTAGCATTGTCTGTGAGACTGATGGAAACGTGCAGCTGTTCCCTTGAATGTGACAGTATTCGATACGTGTTCAGTCGTCACTGCGTGCGTACAGTCCCTGACTCACCACGCTTCAGCGCTGATTCTTAAAGACAGCGCAAAAGCGATATGTGTTTCATTCGCCACTCTACTTGGGCTTCTGTGCTTTGACCTTTCCCAATTAGCTACAAGCTTGCATCTTCTCTAGTGACGTTGTGCAGTGGTCATAGCAACTTCTACGTGGCCTGTTGATCGCCAGGGTTAGCCATAAAGACCCTACAGTGTGCCGTGTGGCTAAGTTGGGATGTTCTGTAGGTGAGAGTCTTTCAGAGCATCTTTGACTTTGTAATATTTGCGGCTTATGATGGGCTTATTTGGGATGTCACCCCATCACAAGCAAGGAATGTACGTCTGTGCAAGTAGAGGTAATTTCCATCAGCCTGCCAGGTGTGTCCAACTTTCTGAAATTGTGACAGATGTCATCTATATACACTGTTTTGCTTTGAGAACGGCTCAATCAAGTGCTCTCCCCCTAAATTGCAAAAAATATCCTTGCAATGATCTAAGTACGTTTATGATTCAGTGTTGAGCTGGATCCATGGCTGTGCTGTGCAATCAACCTATGGGTCACAGGTTGGGCACACTTAGAACAAAGGCATCAAATAATGAAATAAAAGTAGAGGCAGTGTTGATTTTTCTGATTTAGATACAGTTCAGTTGTCGTACCCCAGTCTCCTCTGATCACACGGGGGTGCCTTAATCCTATTCCACACTCCCCAGGGAGAAAATGATCAGGGATGAGGGATATACCCTTCTTGGTAAAGCTACTCGGTGCCCCATGAATAGGGGATAACCCTGGGGAAGCCAGAGGCTCACTTAGTTGCAAGGTTTCTGTGCTTAGACTTTCACAGTGGAGCTAACTTCCTGTGACTTGCAGAGGGGTTGCTGCTTACAAGGGTGCCAGGCAACGCTTAGCAGGGTGAGGGAATCACTCTTACCTGAGAAGTCGCCCCTGAGGCTTCGAACAGTGAGTCACATTCACCTTCATGGTATGCTTCCTTGCAGTCCCGGCAGAAAACAAGCTGCAAGAGAACACACCACGAATCAGAACATTCCGCTGCATTCTAAACTCTACTTTGGTCTCTGGCTTGAGTGATGGCTTCTGATTCAAATTACTGTTTGCAAAATGGGATCAGATTATATTTTTGACGGGTCTGTTCACTGTTAGAGAGGGTTCCGTGCGCCTCAACAGGGCTACAGAGATGAATCGTGCGCATCTCACGCGGACACATCTCAGCCACGTCCAAGGCTGCTGCAGTGGCTGAGGACGGCTCCACATTGTGACTCACTGAGATGGGGTCATCTTTCCACCTGACACCTGAGATACCATGGGAAAGCTACGGAAGGCCCGGAACTCTTAGAAGCCATCCAGTGGCTTGGGAGTCCTCAAGCTCGTGTGACTGGACATCAGCCGGGCGTTCGTCGCGGTTTTGATTGAGGTACGATGAGTATGAACGGAAAAATGAAAGCAACCCAAACAGTGCCGGCAGCACCGACTTTGTTTTCAAAAGACGTCAGCTGCTTCTCTGGGACTCAGGAGAAACACCAACCCTACATGATCATTCTTCACAACACCTTCACCACACAAGGAGATCCATCAGCTGCAGGCTCAACATCCCTCAGTCCAAGGTGTTTGGGAGTAGATTTAATTCAAATTTGGCATTGTTTTTCAGAATGTTTGTACACACACATTCTCATATTAACATGTATACACACGTACATATATTCACATATATACATCACTTATATACACGTACATATACGTATATTTGTGGCTACTGGAAGATTTGGAGGATCGAACACAAGTCAAAGCACGAAGTTTATTTAATATGTGCCTTACCCACATAGGCTGATGGAAATCTCGTACATTTTTTAAAAGCAACGTTGTTGCTTTTAAATTTTATTTTTTAACAATTTTATGAGTTTGAGTATTTTGCCTGCATGTGTATTTGTATGCTACGTATGTGCCTAGTGCCTGTGGAGGCCAGGAAAGGCTATCAGATCCCCTGGAACTAGAATTACAGGCAGTTGTGAGATGCCATGTGGGTGTTGGAAATTGAACCCGGGTCCTCTGGAAGAGCAGTCAGTACCCTTAACTCCTGAGCTATCTCTCCGGCCCCACGCCTGCGTTTTGACTGGTTTCCATTGCAGGAGGTCAGGTGTAGTAGAAATTCCCTCCAGAGCCGTTACTACAGTGCTCGGGAGTTCACGTTTGGAAGGTGTTAGATTGCTCACTCTGTACTTCTCACAGCAGGAAGGCTGGCCTCCTGAGTGATGGAATGTCATCTTAGAAGCTCAAGTTCACCAACTTAAAGGAAAGGGCCTGCATGGGTCCCCTCGCAGATGGCTGCCAGGGTCTATGCCATGATATGTTATTTATCCCTACCGGATACAGTAAGTTAGTGCCACCTCCAAAGGTCTCTCTTTTTAGAGTGAGGGCAGGAATCTCCGGGTTGGCCCCACCCCCACCCTTCAGCTTTGGCATGCTCAGTCAGCTCAGCCATAGAGAGCTGGCTGAGAGCCCCGCCACTTCCAGGGAAACTAGTTTGATCTCTTGGCGTGACAGGGAAAGCACTTCACATCTTATTAGCCAGGGGATGAGATATAAAATCAGTTTCATGGTGCAGGAACACCCTGGAGGTTGATCAGTTTGTCAGAATAAATAGGCCTCTCCTGACGCAAAGACATTAAATTCACCAGTACTGTGAAAAAGAGGACCATAAAGGGGAAAAAAAAAGAGAAAAGAAAAAAAAAGGAAGAAAAAGGAAAAGGAAAAACCAAGACAATACACACAAACGAAAGCTCCCACGCTTTGATTGGTGTGTGTGGAGGGTGAAAATTCTGGCTGACTATGCTGGCAGTGACATTAATTCATATGCTAATTTGTTTCTGTTCCAAGGCAGCTCAGAACTCTCTCCAGTTAACGACTTGAAACTGTTCTACATAAGCCGAAGAACCATCTAGAACAGTGGTTCTCAACCTGTGGGTCTCCAACCCTTTGGGGGGGGGGGTGTTAAATAACCTAAAGACCACCAGAAAACTCAGATATTTACTTCGTGATTCATAACAGCAGCAAAATTACATTTATGAAGTGGCAACAAAAATAATTTTATGGCTGGCGGGGGTGGTGGGGGAACAGCATGAGGAACTGCATTAAAAGGTGGCAGCTTTAGGAAGGTTGAGAACCACTGGTCTAGAAGGGTCTGGTTTGATCTTGAAAGTGTTTGGGGGATTTGTAATCACGTTATTCTGAGCACTCAACAAGGGGCTTGTTTGAATGCAAAGGATTTCATTCTGGAAATAAAATCTAAACTGTGCCGGAAGGTATCCCAGGGTGCCACGGAAGACTCACAGGGCTGAACTGGACTGGTTTAAAGTTTTGAGTAAAACACAGTGGCCATCAACATCTAGAGGCCTCTATGAATTAATAACTTGACATCATTCCTGTGAAACCACAGATGCCCTAGCTGCCTCTGCCCTACAGTGATAGGGACCTGTGTACAAAGGCTCCTTTTCTCTGTTAGTCTCTGAAAACCATTCAGATATTCAGATACACACAAAACTTGATGGTAGTGGGCCTCTCTCTCTCTCTCTTTCTCTCTTGTTTGTTAACAGTGGGAAATATTTATTCTTTTTTTAAAGATTTATTTATTTTATGTATATGAGTACACTATAGCTTTTTAAAAAAATTATTTATTTTATGCATATGAGTACATGTAGCTGTCTTCAGACACACCAGAAGAGGGCATTAGATTCCATTACAGATGGTTGTGTGCCACCATGTGGTTGCTGGGAATTGAACTCAGGACCTCTAAACCACTGAGCCATCTCTCCAGCCCCAATATTTTATTCCTATCTAAAAGGAACTTCAGTTTTGAAAAAGAATTACAAGGCACAAGATTCTTTTTTTTTTTTTTTCTCTAAAAAAAAAAATTCCTGGAACTCCCCTCTCCCATCTCTCCGGCACTAACAATAACCATAACTTATCTGAATGCTTTTAAGAACATCTTCATTGAAACCAACTCGTTGTAATAGATTTCTATTTAACAAGATGCCGTCTTTCTATGCATTCATTTCTAGAAACTGGATTTTTTTTTTTTTTGAGATAAGGTCTCACTAAGTAGGTCAAATTTGGGATTGAGCCTTCTTCTGGCCTCAGTCTCCTGAGCGCTGACTGATGTTTTGCCTCACCCGGCAGCACAGCTCCTTGGGATGACTTTGTGGGCCAGTGCAGAAACTCTGCTGGTGCTGAAATTGTGTCAAGAGGGAAAGCTTCTTTGGGAGAAGACAGACAGACTACCCCCAACCCCATAGTCCCACACTCACTGAAGTAAGCTTGTCTCCCACAGGGGCTTATGGGTTTTCTCTGACCAGCGAGGTGGAAGGCTCCCATTTTACACAGATCTCTACCATGTGTTGTTCATGGCCGCATAGCTGCTCAGGCTCCCTGGACATGTACATTGCCCTCCCAAGCCTCGGGAGCAGAGGTCAGCTGAACCGAGGGAGATGACTACGGACCGTTTACACAGCTTGCCTTTCCTGCCTTTTCTTGAGAGGGATCTCACAATCACTAATGACTTCTACAGCATTTCATTTTGCATTTTAAAAATGGAAATATATAGTTTTTCCAAGACAAGGTCTCATCTTATAGTACAGTCTGGGCTTGGATTCACAATATAGCCCAGACTGGCTCTGCTTAAGCGTTCTGTGTGCTTAGGCATAGCATGTTTACGGGTATGTGCAATGCCACCTGATTTATATGCACTTATATGTGATTTATATGTTTTAAAATGTTACAAAAGTATAGGGTTGGAGATTTCGCTCAGTGGTAGGGAGCTTGCCTGGCAAGCACAAGGTTTAGTCCTCAGCTATGGGGGAAAAAAAAGACCAAATAGTGCCAGTGGCGGGAGCACATGTCCTTAGTTCTAGCACTCCATAGGGAGGCAGAGGCAGGCAGATCTCTGAGTTTGAGGCCAGCCTGGTCTACAGATTGACTTCCAGCACAGCCAGGGTTACACAGAGAAACTCTGTCACAAACAAACAAACAAATTAATTTACAGAAGCGATCCATACTTATTCTTCCAGCTTTCTGAACCCCGTTCCACTGTTAGGCTTTATTAGAAGGGTCAAACACACGGCCTTAGGAGCACCCGTGATGGCAGCTTCATATATAAACTTGGCTAGGCCACAGTCCTCACAGGCCCATCACACTCGACAGAGGGACTGCTCTGAAGACATTTTACAGACAGAGTGCTGGTTTTCAGTGAGATTTCCCTAGGCTATGTGGGTGGCTGGATTCAACCCGCTACATGGGCTTCAGGGTCAGGCTGTGCCTACCAGTTTCATCCTGTTCTTCCCAAGGCCTGTCCTGTTTGTGAACTTCAGGCAGGTTTGTCTAGCTCACAGACCCTGGTAAGCCAATTCTGTAACAGATACCTTAATATAAATAAGTAATATGCATCTTTATAGCTATAAATGTATGAATATGTGCATAGGTGTAACCAACACATATGTGTGTGCCTATAATCATAATCCGTACATGTGTGTTTGTTTATTTAGGTATTATCTTTCTCACATGTGTGTGTGTGTGTGTGTGAGTGTGTGTGTGTGTGTGTGTGTGTGTGTGTGTGTAAGCATCTTGGGGGCTCTGCCTCTCTGCTGGAGCTCTGGCTGACATAACTATTTCAGAAAAATTCTAAGTCATCTTATTCCCTGTCTTTTGTAAAACGATGACCATAAAACTACAAGAATTTAAACCTTCTGTATTCTTTACAAAACTATATATATCCTTTTTCATTAAAAAAAAAAATCTAGCCTAGGAGAGATGCCTCATCGATTAAGAGAACTTGTTGCTCTTCCCGAAGACCCCGGTTCAGTTCCCAGCAACCGCGTGACAGCTCACAACTGTTTGTAACTCCAGTCCCAGGGGATCCAGTGCAGGCAAAGTGCAGGCGAAGGTCTCAACAGCTCGATTACTTCCTTTGATCTGACAATGAGCAACTGAACTCGAAGATCCAATGCC